TATATATATATATATATATATATATATATATATATTATAAGAATTATCATTTACATAAAATAGTAGTAAAAAATTTTAGAAGCATTTAATGCACGCATTTTTTTTGGACACATTTTAAATATATGCATTAATTATTTTCATATACACGTTTTCAAATAAGATCAAATCAGATATGATCAAAAATATTTTTCCTTAAATAATTTTATTAATATCCTGCAATAATTTCATTTATATCTATTATAATAAATTACAAGATTGATTTTTCGTGATTCATGTTGATAATATTTTGGTTCAAAGTAAATATTACAACATATTGTAAGTTCTAACCATAATATTAATTTTTTTTTCACAAAAATTCACTTTTTATCTAATAATATTTATAGACAGTATAGGTATAATTTTTTCTTTCAATTAATCAAGCAAAATCAAGTTGGTGAATTAGTCTTTGTCAATATAATTTTTTCTTAAGTTTTATTTCATTATATATGAAAAATAATTATTCTTCAAATTAATATAATTTACCATTTAAGAGGTAATGACCAGATACATTAAATAGTTGTACTAATGGTCAAAAATTAAAATCTAAATATATTAACTGTTCTAGAATTTATTTGTATATTATTGACAACCATGATTATTTATTTTTATTATTTTTTATTTTGATTTCCTTCTATAATGAAACTTTTGTAAAATATATTTTCATTGCAGAGTATGTTAAATAAAATATAAATTATTATAATGCAAATTAGAAAAATCATGATTATAGAATGGATTGAGTTTTTGACATTTGCTAAATCAAAGTTGTTTAATTACTGTACGAAATTAAATTCTAGAAAAACGCGTGTGTATATTTTGTAAACTACTTATACAATATTTAATTTAAAATTTATTTACATATTTTAAATTGATTACATAAATAAATAATACTAACGTGTATTAAATATTTTTCATTACATAAGATAAAAACGTATAACTTCTATAACATTTATAAATAAGAATTATATTATATGACAACAAATTTATAATAAAATAATAATTAAGTATTATATGGTGAACAATAATAAGTAAAACTGTTATTTTCTCTTATATCAATGAATAAATATATATACTAAAATCAAATTTATATTAGTATAATTGTGTTAGTGAGATAATATATTAATTATTTTACTAGCTAGCCCTAATATGCTCATATTTACTGTTCTAGCTAAAAAAACAACGCTGATTAAAAAATGTGGAAAATAGATCATAAGAATATTATTTCTTAGACTTAATAATTAAAAGAGGTGAAAAACAGTTGGTAACCCTATTTTTTTAGACTTAAACGAATAGAGCTTGTGAAAATAACTCATTTAAGAGCATGCTTGGATACAAAATTTCTCAAAAATACCCAAACATTTTTAACTCAACCACTTTTTTTAACTCAATTTTAACTCAACCTCACTATCATCAATATTATTAATTTAATTAAATAATATCAATCAATCATTCTTACACACCACCTTATATTAATTCACTATTCATTCACTCACTATTCATCGCACGGGGTATGTACTAGTTAGCATTCCACAACTTAAGTGAAATATCATATAACAAGTATATTGGGTTAACTTGCGTATTCAATAAAATGATATTTAGACTTCCATAATTTAAGTAAAATATCATATAACAAGTATGTTGGGTTTACCTGCCTAATAAAACGTCTGTCTCACAGTAGTATTTAAATAAGTTATATTATTTTTATGAGTCAAATTTAAGTAGAAGAAATTACACGACAATACTATTGTTTAAATAAAAAATTACTATATCAACAAAAAAATCTACAATTTTTTGTTAAATACTATCGATCTACATGTAAATTCGCCTAAAATAATAACATAACGTGTGTTTAATTTACTACAACATGACATACTTTTAATAATTTATTTTTCATTCGTTTTATAATTTACATTAAAAACTTAAGAAAATATCATACTTCGAATTTTTAAACATACTGTAGCGATATTATTGAAGTCAAATTGAGTCGAATACATCATGTTCGAACTTGTGCGCGTTTAATAAATGAGCATGCTTAGTTCGGATAATTTAATAAATCAAATGTAATCAATTAGGCTCTTCTCATTTTAATTAAATTTCAATTTTCATGTTTTATTATATGAATGAGTTGAGATTGACTTTTTACAAGCCGAATTGAACTGTACTCACAATTCAGTTCTAGCGGCCTAGTGTCGAAAATATTTCTGGCTACGCCCCTATATAGAAATATTACTAGTGCGCATCCGTGTAATGCAGGGACGAGTTTGTTACTTAAAATCATTTTAAAACTTTATATGAACGAACATAATTATTTATATTTAACAATATATTATTGCAAAAAAATAAATACAAAATATGAAAAATTATGTTATTTATTTGGATAGAATGAGTGTCCCTCAACCAAACAATAACATCCAACTCATGATATATGATAAATTAATGACATGAATCGTCATGTTATATATATATATATATATATATATATATATATATAATAAATATAAGATATTTATATTTGCATTTAAATTTTTAATTTGGATATGAGATGAAAAATGGATGTGTACAAAAAATAGGTACCCATTATCCACATAATAGGATATCCTTTATAAACCTTAAAATATTTTGTAGTTAGATAAATATGGACAAAATAATTATCAATTAAGTTGAACAATCCGAAATATAAAGATTAATTTCTGTATTTAACATTCATTATTAAATAAATTCAAACTTTTAGTTGTTACAATAAAATATGAGATTTATAGATAGATAAATAGGAATAAGAAAATATTTAACAATTAAGTTGGCATGACCTTTTCAAAAATATTTTAAAAAATTTCAAATGTTTTATTCGTTAAATAATTGACTGGATTTTTGTAACCAAATTTACACGTTTGACCGAAAAAATGTAAGGAAATGATTGATCAGAATTTTTGAAAGCAAGATTTTCATGATTCTTTCTCATTATTGGCCAGATTTACCCATAGCATTTAAGGAAATCATTGTCCATATTTTTAAGAATTAAGATTTACACAATATCTTTCTCAAATAACTTTTTTTATAAATTTGAATTCAAATTTTCATTTCATTTTCCAAAAAAAAAAATATACTCAGAATAGTAACTTAAAAATTTTAAGCGAAAATTTTAATACTCTTTCAAGTAAATCCTTTCTCTATTGTATAATAATAGATTCTTCAAAATAACCTATAAAAAATTAATAAATTGTGTAATAGTATATGAGATTAATTGTTGAATGATTGTTTTGCAACCTAAACTTCTAATATATTCAATTTCTTTACTTAAAATACATTAAAGCATTTTTATAGAACAAATGAGCTCTTAATGTATTTTTTCTTTTTAAAAATAAGATACTGATATCCTAATATAGAAAGGATGAAATAAACATATTACAACTCCACAAAAAATATATAAAAAATAAGTCCCCAATGAAAAAAAAACACTAATAAGGATCTAATGTATATTATAGATGCATTAGTTTTTTTATGTATTAAATATAGTTTTGACGTTATCATATAAAACATTTACACCCGTTGGAGCCCAATACATCACAAGTATTTCTTTTAAATTCATATGACAAAACTACTATTATAATAAAGCAATGTTATTTTTAAATAAATTAGACATTTTACCAAATGAATTAAGAAAAATTTTGCAATAATATTACTGTATTGAGCTTCAACGGATATGAATATTTCTTATGAGAACGTAAAAATCAAAATGAAATTACTCTTGAATCATCTAACATAAATAAATAAAAGTACTAATACATCTACAATATACAGTGGATTCTTATTTAGTTATTTAGTGTTTTTTTTTTTCATTAGTGTTTCATCATTCATATATATTTTGTTGGGGTTATAATAAGTTATTTAAGCCATTTTATATTAGGACATCATTATGTAATTTTTGAAAAAAAAAATACATTAGGAGTTCATTTATTCTACATTTTATTTTGTTCATGCAATGATATGTTAATAAATTAATTAATTTATCTTACTAAACTGAATCGACAAAAAAACATTCACTACCACGTGCATTGCACCTGTAAGTAAGTCTTAAAATTCCTGATTTATTTGTCTATGAAAGATTATTGGTTCGGATTAAGTCAAGGTCGTCTTGTAACTCCAACATTTCATTTTCTTCCATTTATGAGATGATGAGACAAGTCAATACTTATTTGCTCTACACATTTATTGTTTTGATCCGTGCTTACATTTTTATTAGAAATTTTAAAAACACAACTTAATTATATATATGTCAATTTATGTACTCATGCATAAATGACAAATTTTACAATTGGGATTTTTTTAGGACTTTTTAAAGTGAATGATATTGTAGACTTTGTGAAATTTTAATAACTTTGATGGACTTTCAGAAATTTTTATAGAATTCTTATCATACTTTTTAAAACTTATTGAGACTTGAGACTTTTATATATTGATAGTATAACTATTACATTGCATAAAATGTTGATGAACCTTGCATCATAACCAGTATTAATACAAGCAATCTAGTTTTTTTACTCGAAAAAAAAAAGAAAATGCTAAACTGAAACTATTTTATATAGTAAACACCAATTATTCAACAAAAGTCTTTAAAAGTCTTAATTATATGCAGGTAGACCTTTTAGAAATCTCAAGCAAAAAAGAAAAAAGATTGATAATATATCAAAATTCTAAAAAATTTAAAAAGTCATTAAAATTTTAAATTGAATACACGAAGAAAAAAAAAGCACAAATCTTAAGATGATTCAAGTTTCCCCATACTTTTCAAAAGTAAAATTTACTCCTACAAAGGGAAGAAAAGGATCACCGCATCCCTCTACATAGGTATATATAAAGCTCCCAATAGCTAGTGTGCTATGTACCATACCAACATCAGTTCAAATTCAAAGTCCAATTAGAAATTCTGCAAATTCAGATAATGACGATGAATGCACCGAAATTTACTATCCATGCAGCTTTGTTTTCAGCCCTCTTTTTCATGTCCTTCAAACTAAGCAATTGTATCCTCTGCCCCGAAATTGAAAACCAATCACTTTTAATCTTCAAGCAATCTCTCAATGGCTCCTCAAGCGTGTTGTCTTCTTGGGATGCTAAATTTGATTGTTGCACGTGGAAAGGTGTTGGCTGCATCAACTTAACTGGCCATGTTCTTCAACTCCACCTCCAAGGTAATTATTCTTTAGGTGGGAAAGTAAGCCCTGCTTTGCTCAACTTACAGCATTTGAAATATCTTGACCTGAGTCAAAACAGCTTTGTCCAAAATATCCCTTCTTTCATTGGATCACTCACAAGCCTGAGTATTTGAACATATCATTCACTGGATTTTACGGAAAGATTTCTCATAGTATTGGAAATCTTTCGAATTTGCGTACTCTAAGTTTGGAAACTATGGACACTGGAGGTAGGGGTGTTCACTGTATGGATTTAACCGAAAAAAACCGTCAATCTGGACCGCGGATCAGTTAAATGGTCAGTTAAAAAAGCCTTAAAAAATCCGTTGGTTAATTTTTTTAAAAATCCGGAATAACTAGTCTAGTTAACGGATTACATGCGGCAAACCGCCGGTTTAACCGGACGGGACCAGTAAATATTAAAAAAACTATAACAAATATATATATACATTCAGTCATTCACTATGACCGACAAATACAATATATTTGTAATAATATTTTATATATTATTCTATTATTGTGGACCATATAAATTAATTGGACCTAATTGAATTAATAGTCAAACTTAATTAAGATGAATATGTATTTAATGAATTATTAATGTTCTAATATAAAAGATCCAAATAATGGATTATTAATGTTCTAATATAAAAGATGAACATTAATGGATTATTAATGTTCTAATATAGTCAAAATTAATTGGACCATATTATATATTGTCATATATTACAAACCTAGTTTGAGGCACCTTCATATTTGGGGGTGCCATACAGAAATAAAAGTATATAATAACTTTAATCATTCTTTCATGGTACGTTAAACAAGGAAGGACTATAAGCTGGATTCTTGTAAGTTCTATGTGCAATTTAATTTATGCAAAAGATCCATATTCTATGAATTGATAGAATTACATGCGTAGGGTTTATTCAATTCCGCTTAATAGTTATGAATATATCCGTTAAATTTCTTACATGTGGTATCAGAGCCAGGTTTATGCATGATTATTTTGCCAATTAAATCTGTATTGCATTCCGGTGTGAATTGCTTTTGCATTGTGATATGTCGATCCGATTATGTTGCTGCGAAGCACCCGAAAACCTCGAAATTATTGCTGAACAATTTGTGATATTTGCTGGACTTGGGAGATAAACTTGATTGTGATTTATTTGCCTTTTGTATGCTGCCACGAATTGATATTGTTCATTATAGTAAAACATTAATCTCTGCTATTACATACTTTTATTAATCCCTTGAATTCGTGATTTGTTTGCTGGACTCAAAGCCATTCTCTCTAATTGGATTCTTGAATTGAATTATTTACTGAATGTGGCCAGCAATTGAATTCTTGGAATTATTTATTGAAGAACTTATATCTTTGATCATGAAAAGCTAATTATGAGACTGAGATTATATTCGAACGGTATTTTGGAAAGACTAATTGCAGAGATTAATAAAAATATGGATATCTCATAATATGATCAAATAAAATATTTTCTAATTATATTATCTATGTAAAGAAACTAGTTAGTCACCAAAGTGGCCTAGTTTAATTTATGGAATAGATAATTAAATTAGATGAAATATTATTAAAATAAAATATTATCTAATTATATTATCTATGTAAGAAACTAGTTAGTCACCAAAGTGGCCTAGTTTAATTTATGGAATAGATAATTAAATTAGATAAAAGTATCAATTATTCAAATATAAGACGATGTCTTATTAATGTACCCTAATATTATAATATTTGAATAATTGATGTTATAGATTATAAACTAGGAGGACACCCAAAGGTGGGCCATGGTTTGTAATATATGACAATAAAAGACAAATTATATTAAAGTTAGGTTAATTAGTGTGTTTGTCCAAAGATAACCACTAATTAATCACAATATCTATAATTTCTATTAAAGATCTTTCCTCTTAGGCATCAATCAAGTCTATTATATATTTAAGTATTTGCCCAAAGGTATATTTAAATATATAATTTAAAAGATTTTTGAATCCATTAATTGTCCCTCAAAGCTTAACTAAATAGCATGTATTAAAGTTTGCAGCGTTCAAAATTTGGTTATCCGTACAGTATTATAGTTTAAAAAATACAATTGGCTGAACTTCAATAAATGGTCTAAGCATATCCAATTTCAGTTAGCTTCAATGAATTTGTATATGACTCTAATTATTGATGAAGTTGCCACAACCATTACTGATGAGAGCTCCGAAGTAGAGGTAACTCTACGTAGGGTATGTGAGCGATCAAATAGGTTGTGTTTGAATTTTATGAAGTTAATCAAGGCGGATAACATTAAAGTCAATAATGCAAAAGAATTCCTAAATAAAAATCAAGGATTATCTCCATTTAAAATTGCGGGAAAAGTTTATTGTGGAAAGTTTCTTTAATGTACTCTCCACTAAAAAAGTTCATCTGATTCCGCTCCATCTATGATTTCGTGATCCATGTGTTGCACATATAAGCTAAACTTGCAAACATGAGAATGAATGCGATAGACTCATTTATGGTTTTATTCATCATGAACTCCTTACCTGTTGAGTTTGGCCAATCCTAGGTGAAATATAACACCATTAATGATAAACGGGATTGTAAGCAAATTAAGGCTATGCTGGTGCAGGAAAAGGTGGGAATAAATGAGATGAAAGAAGAGTCGATTCATTTTATATCTCATGTGGGAGCCAATAATAGTAAGATAAAATGGAAAATAAAGGCAAATAAAAGGAGACTGACTTACTTAAAGTTTTTGTAGGTCCAATCATTAAATAAATAAGGTGTTAGTTTTGTAAAAAGCTAGGCCACCTTAGGAAAGATTGCCCGAAATAAAATCTTGATTCGAAAAGAAAGACATACATTAGTTTTTTGTATGTTGTGAATCAAATTTATTAAAGATTCCCAATGATACTTGGTGGCTTGGTTCTGTGCAACTACTTATGCATCTCATATTTATTTTGAGGTTAAACGTAGTGCACATTCTACTCTCTTATGGCATTAAAGATTATGGTCACATATCCAAAGAAAAGTTTTGAGAATAGTGAATAATGAAACCATTTCTCATTTGGATTTTAGTGATCGAGATGTATGTATAAAATGAATTAAAGAAAAGCAAACTAGCATACATTAAAGAGATCTGCCAGGAGAAGCATTAAAATCTTATAACTTATGTACACTAATTTTTGTGGTCTATTCAACATTCCTTCATGGGGTGATGTAAAGTATTTAATCACCATTATAAATGATTTCTCACGTTATGGTTATATTTATCTACTACATTAAATGACTCAATCATTGGATTATCCAAAAATATACAATGATGAGATGGAAAGATAGTTAGATAAATAAGTAAAAGTTGTGAGATCTCCTTAGATTGGTGAATATTATTATAAGTTCAATGAAAGAGGATAATATCCTAGTCCATTTGCAAAGTTTCTTGAGATTTGGGGGTGCCATACAGAAATAAAAGTATATAATAACTTTAATCATTCTTTCATGGTACGTTAAACAACTATAAAAATGACTTTAAATGATTATGCTGCAAAGAAATTTTTTAAAGTACTTACAAGGCATTAAAGAACACATGCTAACTTAAAGAAGATCCAAATTATTGGTTATAATTGGATACTCGGATTCAGACTTTTGCTCATAATGTCTAAAGGAGCAAAATTATGGAAAGGTGGAACAAAAGTCCATCATCGCGACTTCCACGGTGTAGGGCTGAGTTTGTGGTATGCTTTGAGGCCACAAGTCAAATTTAGGGCTACGGTGCTTTATCTTAGGACTTGGAAATGTCGACATTTTGTCCAGGCCGCTAAGAAATTATCGCAGCATCGTAGCAATACTATTTCAAGGAATGACAAGTATTCAAAGGGTATGAATCACATAAAATTGAAATACTTGGTCGTAAAAGTAGAAGTGAAGAACTAAAGTGTCATTTGAGCATTCTAGTACTACTTGCATGAAAGCGGATCCATTAAAAAGGTTATTCCCTATACCTTTGGAAGGCATATAAAGAAAATTGGGAATAACGAATGGGGCCTTGTTGGACTGACCGATACTGAATGAAATTGCTCAATTATTGATTTTGGCACTTATTGAATTCAAATAAAGATGTTTGATTCTTCACACTTAATACCATCATTATGGATATTTGATTTTATAGTATATACATAAAAGTTGGATGGCTTATGGTTATGGTACGAATAGTTTGTTCCATATTAAAGTAAAGTTGAATTAGAAATGATTTGTGGTACATGGAAGGGATCATGTCGCTCGAAGACTTGTGACCGCCATGACTCGGTTAATTTCTATTTTAATTTTAAACTTATAGATATATGTATTCAATTATAAGTTTGATGAAAGGTGCGCGCTTAAAGTAGTTCTTTGGGTTTCGACACTTATATGGTCCAAGTGGGAGAATGTAATAATATTTTATATATTATTCTATTATTGTGGACCATATAAATTAATTGGACCTAATTGAATTAATAGTCAAACTTAATTAAGATGAACATGTATTTAATGGATTATTAATGTTCTAATATAAAAGAGTCCAATTTGTGATGTTTGACTTGGACAGTAAGTTAGGTTAGAACATGGGGAATGTTAGTAGGAATAGGTTTGTAGGATTCCTCCTATATATACTACATGCCCCTCTCTCCCATCTCATACGAAAATAAAGTTTTCAACATCAAGGACTTTATGAAAAGACGAGAGACGTGGGAGAGAGAAACAATTCATAGGCAAAGGCGAAGAAAGATATCATTGGAGATTATGAGAAAGATAGATCCATGAGATTACGAAGAAGAGATCGCAGATCAACATCATAAATCAAGAAAACAGGGAAGGACTATAAGCTGGATTCTTGTAAGTTCTATGTGCAATTTAATTTATGCAAAAGATCCATATTCTATGAATTGATAGAATTACATGCGTAGGGTTTATTCAATTTCGCTTAATAGTTATGAATATATCCGTTAAATTTCTTACAATATTCACTACGAATGCTTTGCTCTTATTATTTTAGGTGTATAAACTGACTGAAAAATGAATGCTTGCTTGGGTTCAGTTTGCATAATTTAACTTCATCATTTTTGTATTTTTATGTTTATGGGACGAAATGTGTATTTTCATGCTTATGGGACGAATTGTGTATTTTTTATTTCATTATGTTGTTTTTCTTAATTTTTAGGCCCAAATAATCTCTTTTGGGCCCAAAATTGAAAAATAAAAATTAAGCCTAAAATGAAAAAATAAAAATTGAAGGCCCAAAACAAGGATTTTGGATTTAACCGGTTAACCGCCAAACCGGACCATCCAATGCGGTCCAGATTGTGGTCGGTTAAAATATAAAACCAGTCCGGTTATGGACAAGAAAACAAATTAACCGTTAGGTCCGGTTTGGTCATGGTTTTGGCTAAAACCAGACCAATCCGGACCGTGAACACCCCTAACTGGAGGAGAAGATTATTCAGGGCCAAAGCTAGATGTGGATAGTCTTGAACGGTTGTCAGGGGTTTCAAAATTGGAGTATTTCAATATGAATCATGTGAGCCTGAGCAAAGCAGCTAATTGGCCTCAGCAGGTGATAATTAAAGGGTTAATTGCTATTTAAACCTTGACCTTCCAGCTTTTGGCAATTTAATCTGAACTTTTGAATAATTGCAATATAATCTTGACCTTGTCGTAATTTTGCAAAACGAACCTTAAATTCGTCGGACGTCCGAAAAATGCCAGCGTGTCCAGCTAGTTATAGCTACGTGGAACTTGCAATTTACTGAGTGTGACTACATTAAATACGTGGAATTGTTAAAAAAAAAAAAAGCATTTTCAAGAATGAAAAGATTAACCCAAAATTTCCAAATATAAATTCAAACCCTATCCCCACCACGTAAGTCTCCCGTCACTGTACCCTATCCAAACCCTAAACCTCTCTCCAATTCATCATCACGCCCACGAAATCCTCTCGCCCACCGCCTCCTTTCAGTACCTGACGGCGGCGACGGTGACTGCCGCCAATTTGGCTGAGTTTAGATCCACGCTGACGTGTTTGTAATCGGGGTCGCCGATGTCTAGATTCCAGAGCACGTCGAGCTCTAGGGCAAGGAGATGGGTTTTTTTATTCCCATCTGTGGCGGTGCTCGTCCGGCCAAGGTGCCCTGCCGCGTAGGCTTTCTAGATCCAGGTGGAAGGGACGACGACAAAGGCCATGTCGTGGCCGGGGAGCACGCTTCGGTTTGGGACGACTAGACTGATAACACGAACTCGGTCAAGAATGAGTAATCCGGACGGAAAGAGGATGAGGCTAGAGAAGAACGTCCGGCGGTGCGCGCTGGCGAAGCAAGCGATGAGGAGCTTTTGGCCGGGAAAGGTGAACTGGATGACCATGTAGGTTCTAGAAGGTGGAGATTTTTTTTGCCTTTTCTTTATATTAATTTTGTTTTATTAAATTGTGATTAGGATAAGTGTCTCATTTAATCAAGGACACATTTTTATATGCTCTAATTTGTTGATTGGTTTAATTTGTGGCACATTTTCAAAATTATGATTGAGGTGGATTTTTTTTCTCCCTACCTTGTTAATTACACATATGAGCCATGTCATTGTCACATAGGTTTCCAGTCATAAAAAGTTTCCACCGAGCAAACAGATAGTCCAACATGGATATAACCAGCCAGACACGTCGGCATTTTTTGAACGTCCGACGAATTTAAGGTTCATTTTCCAAAAGTACGACAAGGTCAAGATTATATTGTAATTATCCAAAAGTGTGGATTAAATTGTCAAAAGTTGAAAGGTCAAGGTTTAAATAGCAATTAACCCATAATTAAACTCCATTCTTTAGTCGAGCTGCATTTTAGTGGATGTAATGTTAATTATATGGCTCCTCTAAATGATGTAAATAATATAAGTCATTCTCATATAGCCATTCTTGATCTATCCTTAAATTACTTGGATGTCCAATCTTACGGCATCATCCCTCCGTGGATTTTTCAACTCAGAAACCTTATCTATCTTGATATGAGTTTCAACACATTGGAAGGCCCAATTCCAATTATGAGCAATACCACAAAACTCCAACACATTGATCTCTCTAACAAATTGAATTCAAGCATTCCACAGTGGTTCTACTCCTGCAAACAACTCAAGATATGTCAATCTTGTTATAATATAGGTGCATGCACCTCGTGAGATTTAAAATAATATATGTAAATGACTATTGTGCCCCTGATGTAATTGTATTATTACGATTGTGTCATCATAAGTTTTCCTATAAATAGGAGCTTCGGTTATAATGAAAAGACGACCAAGAGAAAGCATTCTCTATATTCTCTATATTCTCTATTTTCTCTCTAGTTTTATAACACGTTATCAGCACGAGTATCTACCCTTTATAGCTCGATTTGTAATATGATGAGAGTATGCTCTACAGTTGCGTCTATAAGACGATCCTCTGTATCAGAAATCGAAATATACAAATCGTCATCTTCCTCAAACAATACTCCATGCCAGAAAAATCATGATTTTCCTAAATATGGAACGAAGCACACACAAATGAGTCTTTATTAAAAAATAAAAGTTATTTTGTAGTTATATTGGCCGCAGAGATGAATTTAATCACAAGGCTCAACCTCAATTTTAAATTACCAACCAATAAGCCATTTTACAAACTTCAGCGAATCAATATCCGGTGATATGGAGTCACTTTTGTCCGCCGGAAAGATCGCCGTGGAGGCCTCGACCGGGGTCTGACCAGCAGCAGCAATAGCAATGTGGCTGACTACGGCTAATTTGCGCCGTTTTAGAGCTCCGGCGGCTGATTCAGACCATGAACTACTCGTAGGGGATCTCGGCGTATTCATTGCTCGAGTAGGCAGTCCAGTAGATTTCCGCAGTTCAAGAGGTATCTCAGTAACAAGGTATGGAGCAAATTTAATACCTTTCTTCAAAGTATAATTTATGAAGGCTGAAATTTTATAAGAAATTTTACTTTGGGCCGTGAAAACAAGAAAATAGAGGAAGAAGAAGACTAAAAAGACGGCAAAAGTTTTATTGCATCTGAATAAAAAATAAAAAAATAAATAAATAAATAAATAAAATGATGGCTAGTGAGTGTCGGTAAAGATCATGAGTAGGATAATTAATACATCGGTTTTGCTATGAAGCCAACAGTTGGCTCCATAGTGGAGCCAACCTTCTATATACAACAAATAAACCTACTATATTAATAAAATTATATTAGTGTTATTTAAGTAATAAGAGAATATGGTAGGTTTATATCACCTTTTGCTATGAAGCCAACAGTTGGCTTCATATTATATTTCTGCCTAACGAAATTTATAGTAATAATGGAGTGAACAATTTGTATATATCTAAATGTACCACAAAGTAAGCAAAATTCCTAGGGAATGATTAACTCCTTAATGCTAGAAGCATAAGGTGATATAATATATGAAAGTCCGCGTAAAATATATATAATTTAACACTCCTTTATAAAAGAAACTCCTGGAGAGTTGTTCCAGTACATCTTGCACGTGCATCAAATCATTATAGTACTGGAAATGCGGAAAAACCAAAATTAAATGTTACGGGAAATGATTATAAATATGGCTACTAAATATGAAGTTGCACATATGGTTGAGAGAATATAAATTGAATATCATAGTTGTCGACAACATAATTGCCTATGTGATTTCTTTACTATCTCAAATAATGATTCGGATCAAAATAATGAAAGTGCTAGAAGTGCTTAGATTGATTGAGATAGAAAGAAAAATAAAGGCAGAGTTTTTACTCGCTACACGATATATCCCAGAAGGATAGTATATCCCAGAAGGATGAATACTTATATGTGATATGGTGGTGTGATGTAAATATAGCGAGATTATGGGTTTACGCAGAGATCCAAAATTTTATAAAATTTCTCTCATTATCAATGATTACGCAAGTTAATATATATGGCAGCAAAATTATCATGACTATTGAGTCATATGTGAAAGTCCTGGATGGACTCGAGTACCCGAGATGAAAGATAATTAAATCATTTAATTATATAAAATTGTTGGTAAGATGTGGTACAACCAACAAAATTATTCCTGAAGAAGTAAAGTATGAAATTCAAGGTAGACCCTTGTGTATAATGATAATATACAAAATGATCATCTCGGTTAAATAGATTATGAACACTATGTAAAAAGATTAAATAAGTTAGCTCATGCCTATAGACGGAGTTATAATAAAACTCTTGGTTAAATATGAAAGAGTATAATCTCGACTTGATGATCGAGCATCTCCTAGAAGGAGTATTTGTAAAGATCCCAAAGAAACTAAAAATATTATTATTACGGAAGAACAAGTACATAGGGATTATATGATGGAAATACAAATAAGAGGTTGTGAATCCTCAATAAATATGCGAAAAATATTACATAATACAACTCATTAAATAAGGGTGTGTCTCGAGAGTATAAACTCCGTAACTCTGCCACCCATGATTATTATTTGGGTTCATAATGAAAGATCTAAAGGATCAAAAGCTCTTTTTCGCTTGACCCCTTGTGTTTCCACAGAATCTTAAAATGTGATGTATTCTTGAAGGTTTTCGATAAGCTCTCCTTCGTCTAAAAATCCAAGCAAACCATGAAAATAGTTATTAAAATTCAATAGACCTATGGGCTTATTATGAAGTTTCAATTCTGCCCAAGAAGTAATGGTAAACATTGTCATTAAAGTTCCATAACCACCTGGAAGAATGATAAAAGCATCGCTATTGTTCACCATATCCATCATACAGTCATAAATAGAATGAGTTAGCATCAAACTTGTGGAATCTTTGATGACCCTTGTTGAAGCTCTATGAAAAGGTATGATACTTTTCACTTCTATATCAAAACATTTTCCAGCCATCAAAAGGTTATCAAAGAAAGTGATGCTAGTCCCTCCATACAGTAAATTGATTTTTCGATTCCCCATCTTCCTTACTAGTTGACTTACAATATCAATATTTTGAGAAAAACTTACCAGTTTAGAACCACCAAGAACACACATGGTTTTGATCGGATGAAGAAATTTATTACCCTGAGAAGACTCTGAAATATCCATCTATTTATTAATAAACTAAATTTTGTGAGATATATGATTATGATAAATGACTCGCTATTTAAAAGGGATGTTTCACAAAACGATAACCGACAGATAAGGCGTTAAGTCTTCAATGAATCTTATCTGTCGGCAGCTATAAGATTTTCTGAAAATTACAGTACAAAATACTAAACTGTATTTTTCATACTAGCAAGAATAATTTTTACAAACTTGATCTTTTCAAACAATATTTTCGAGATTATAACGTCTTCTTCATTTTTGAAACGAATCCATAGAGACATAAGCTCACGATGAACATAACCACTCGGATGTGTCTCAAGAATCTGTTGAATCGTTTGATCCATAGATTCTTTACTCAATGCATCCTTTATAAATGATATTTTATCTTCTCGATTTTTGGACACGAACCCACATATGTACATCGTGTGTCACAAGTCCATCGAGCGCATTTGAAGCATCCACCTAATCTTTTTGCTCTCCGTTTCTTTGCAAAAGTACTTTTACCCATACTTGGCATATATTTGTATAAATTTGGAAACTCTCCAGACAATCGGACTTTTACTTCAATCAACCACCGAATATCATTTGGAATATTATTAATCATTAGCACACTCAATCTTTCTAATCGAGATCGATAAATCCTTTTTATGATATTTATTGGGAGAAACGAATAATATTTACGGATATTTGAGAGTGCTAAATCCATTTGTGAATTCGGACCTTTGTTAAGGAAGATTGAATGACTTACATGATAATTTATAGAAATTATGCATATGCGTATGCGATGCGACTCTAAAAACAGAGCTTAAAAGTCTTTATATCAGAAGGCATGATACGCATGTGATACGATTCTGAATTTAATATTGTGTGCACTTGAAGTGCATTTATTGTCGCCGAAAGATGATGTGATATGTTTGTGATAAATATGAATTATTGTGATGTTTACCGATATAAATGATAATGGTTTGCATGATTTGTGATATGTGATGTTTTGTTCTCGATTGGTGAAATTATTACTAGCTAAATATTTGTGAATCAATATGAAAAAGGGGTACGATATACGGGTTCACTACCTATCCATGTGTGATACTAGATAGCAACATGATTATATGATTCGTAACCTGAAGTTACAAGATGTTTTGAGCAATGAATGTATATATAAAATTTTAACATGACGTTACGAGATGATTATGAAAATAAGTGTAAAAGCTAGTAATATACCCAACTGATATGATGAATTCTTGAAAGAAAATTGGGCACATTACAAGTGATATGATTTCAAAGTCCTACTATTATATATATTGAATTGAGAACGAAACGGAGAATATAAATGAACTTCTCTCAAAAATTCAATATTGAAAATACAGATCAGTGATTTGTTAAGACGAGAGGGAAAATAAATGATTGAAATTTATCACACTGGAAGTGTGCAAATAAACTGAATGATAATGATGGAGATGAAATATGTGAAATATTATGATGGTGGAATAATACGCTAGAAGCGTTGATATTGTGATAATCATGGAACTATTATTATGGTGAATATATGGAATACGTGTTGTACTCTTTTTCCCTTGACTGAGGTTTTGTCCCATTGGGTTTTCCCAGTAAGGTTTTTAATGAGGCAACAGGGATGTCGTATTCACATGAATAGTGTATTCTTTTTACTTCATTAGGATTTCGTCCCACTGAGTTTTTCCTGATAAGGTTTTAACGAGACATATTCATGGTATAATGAGGATTATTGGATGATTGATATAATTCCTCATGATAATAAGAAGATATTGGAGTAGTTGTACTCTTTTTCCTTCGATCAAGTTTTTTCCCATTGGGTTTTCTTGACAAGGTTTTAATGAGGCAGCACGTGGATACTCCACTAAAGATGATCTATTTGAGGGGGAGCAATGTTATGCTTCCACAATGGTCAGGTTTTGTCCCACCGGGTTTTTCTGAGGAAGTAATGGATTGATTTTAAAATGATCAGGTTTTGTCCCAGCTGGTTTTACTAACATGTTGAAGCAGCGGTACTTGATGACCACAACATACACTTCAATATGCTTAAATTAAGTTTTATTTGAATAATGATATTTAGAAAATAGTCATTCAAGGGGGAGTGTTATAATATAGGTGCATGCACCTCGTGAGATGTAAAATAATATATGTGAATGACTATTTTGCCCCTGATGTAATTCTATTATTACGATTGTGCCATCAGAAGTTTTCCTATAAATAGGAGCTTCAGTTATAATGAAAAGACGACCAAGAAAAGGCATTTTCTATATTCTCTATTTTCTCTCTAGTTTTACAACAACTCTGAAATACAATATTTTAAAAGATGTAATTTCCAATTCCATATCAAATTTTTATTCAAAATTCGAGTTGACTACTATGTGATTTAAGTACATACAAACCTTTACATATATATATGGACCAAATAATTTGATATTTTCCACGCACATTTACAAAGAAGTATCGACCATAGTATTCTCCAAATTTTTCTTTCATTACTATCATGTAAAATGCTTAGTAATATGAAAAATAAAAATATTTAGATACCATATTCTACCATACGCGGGTATATTGGATCAATATATAATATACCAAATAATTCGATTTCATACTTTAAATATAAAATATAAATGATATTCAGTTTTACAACGAAATTAATTCCCTAACATATGAAACAAAATCGAGACCCACATTTTTTATAGATAAAAAAAATAATAAAAATACCCAAAATAGTTATTAAAAAATAATTAAATAGAAAATTCCATTAACATAATTATTTTAGAACAATTTTATTAAAAAATAAATAAATAAATCAACTGAATTTACACGATTTGCGTAATTAGAATATCTTAAATTATTTACTTTAATTATCCATGATTTGAGTAATTAAATACATAAAAAATTAATAACATTCATTAAATAATATTTATATAAAAATTATCATTAAAACAATTTTTTAGAACAGCTTTTTTGCAAATCGCATAATTTATTATTGTTGTCGATATTTTCATAATTGTAGTAATTATTTGCCAATTGTATAAATCAATCGGATTAACACAATTTGCATATTAAGGTATATTGAAAATGCATTTTACGAAATAATTACACGAAAAAAGATAAAATCCTTATTAAATAATAAAATACACAATTTTTTACCAAATCACATAATGGGATTAACACAATTGATTTGTAGAAGATATAATATATGATTTGGTTCTGAGTTAACACTAATTGTTCTTAATAATAGATTTAATGTTGTAAATATTAATCAAATATGAGCAGTTAAATAATATAATAACATAAGAGTTTTGTTAGGCATGTCTAAGGGCTTGTAGACAATCATATTTTTTCAAGACATATACAAAGTTTAAAATTGATACTCATACTTTAAAATATAATATAAACAAAAAATATGACATTATACAACATAATTTTCTTTTATTACAAATGTGAGGACATAAATTATCGTGTGAGGCCGCCTAATCATTAGGCGAGTCGACCCGTTATGTATTTAAAAAAAGTTGCGTACATAATATTAGTTTGACATCTCAATTTAAACGGTCTCACACAAAAACAAAAAAAAATGTCTAAAATAAAATAAAGAAATCCCAACGTTTTGTGCATAGTTTTTCAACTCGGACCGGTCCGGTGGGTTGACCCGGACTCGGTAGACTTGGAGCCGGAACCGATCCAGGTAGGCTATTTGGGGCAACAAAAGACCCGGTCAAACCCAGTCAAAACCAACCCGGCCTTCACCCGGTCGACCCGGGAATTGACCCGACTAGGTTTCTATATATATTTTTTATTTTTTAAATATTTTTTTAAAAAAGAAAACTATGTATATATATTTATATGACAAATATTTATCATGAAATACATATTACTAACACTTTAATTTACAAATTTTATATACAAAACATTAATTTTGTTACTTTTATTTATATTTATATGACAAAATACACTATATATAATTTTAAAAACTTTAGAATTAATTATCCGGTTCAGCAACTGATCCGGTGACCCGCCTGTTGAACTGGTGACCCGAAGACCTGCCACTGCCAGGGTCTATTCCCGAGCTGGGTTTTAAAACTATGGTTTTGTGTCATATTCTAACATGATAGTCTCCTATTCCTATTGTTACTACAAAAACAATAAATAAAAATAAAAATAAAATAATCAAAAGCATATCTTAATTATTAAAATAATTTGCCAATTTTTCCGTCATTTCTTAAAATTCCCCGAACAGAACCACCTTTAAGAACACCAATATTTCACCAGCAAACAGATTTTTAATGACATTAATTATAAGATTACATACCAAAAAAAGTTAGAACTATATTGAAAATTTCGAAATATATAAAATCCTGATTTGGCAATTATTTATTTATAATAGCCGCAATATTTCACCAAAATGATTCCATATATTAATTATATTGACTTTTTCTAATTTAAATTTCAAAATATGACCACCAATTATAAATAAACAAATCAAAAAAAATACTAATAAAGGCAAAAACGAATTACTTAGGCGGGAATTCAGTTACTATTTCAGGTAAATGTCATACTTTTATATATATATAGATTTGCCATTAAAAATAAGTCAAAGTAAGGGCTTTTTAAGTAGTTCATTTGTTAATTGAAGATATAAAATAAGATGGATATTACTGTATTACTAATTTGCCATTAAAAATATGTCAAAGTAAGGGCATTTGAGGCAGTTCATATTTTTACAAAATCACTCGTTCTTTTGTAACAGTATATAAATATAGATAGATATAGAATAAAATATATAGATAGATACAGATATAAATATATAGATAGATATAGATAGATAGATAGATAAATGAGCATTTTTATATTAGAAGTACGACGGGTTGACTCATATAATAGTTAGATCACCTCACACAAAAAATTGTGTTGGTATATATATACAAATATCTTTTAACTTAAAATGAAATATTATTATTTTTCAAATCAACTTAATGACAATATCCAAATTCAATTAAAATGCATATTAAAATGAAACACGCATAATCAATAATTGATTCCTTAGAGGTGTCCACACCAATATTATTTGTGGGGACATCAAAAAAATACAAATTTCTTATTAATTTGTCTTGGAAAGCTAATTCAGACCAAGTCAATACTTGTCTGCTCCACCTCACTTTACTATATATATGCCATGCAGGTTAATATATATATGCATGCATAAATGAACAATTTTTAGAACACATTAATTAGGATAAAGAAAAGCACCAATCCATGAAAAGGATTCAAGTTTCCAACTACTTTTCAAAAGTTACTTGACTCGTACAAAGAGCAAGAAGGTTCACTGTATTGTTGTTGATGTATATATAATCCTCCCAAGCTAGTCATTTATTTATACAATACCAACATCAGTTCAAATTCCAAGCCCAATTAAAATTCTGCAAATTACAATAATAATGATGAGTGCACCAAAACCTTCTATCCTTGCAGCTTTGTTTTGGGTCCTCCTTTTCATGTCTTTGAAACTAAGCAAATGTATCAACTGCCCTGAAATTGAAAAACAATCACTTTTAAGCTTCAAGAAATCTCTAAATGGCTCCTCAAACTTGTTGTCTTCTTGGGATGCTAAGTTTGATTGTTGCACGTGGAAAGGTGTTGTTTGCAGCAACTTAACTGGCCGAGTTCTTCAACTCCATCTCCGAGGTAATTATTTAGCTGGCAAATTAAACTCGTCTTTGCTCAACTTGAAGCATTTGAAATATCTTGACCTGAGCCAAAACAAGTTTCAGGAAGAAATCCCTTCTTTCATTGGATCGCTCACAAGTCTCGAATACTTGAATCTATCATCCGCTAGATTTTATGGAAAGATTCCCCATAGTATTGGAAATCTTTCCAATTTGCACGTTTTAAGTTTTGCTGACCATTGGTATTTAGCGCCGCAGTTGGAAGTCAATAGTGTTGAATGGTTGTCGGGACTTTCTCTATTGGAGCACCTCAACATGAATGGTGTGAACCTCAGCAAAACAACCAACTGGGCTCAACAGGTTATCAACAAACTTCCTTCTTTAGTCGAGCTGCATTCTAGTGGATGTAATCTTAATTTGATGGCTCCTCTGAATGATGGTAACAATATCAGTCGTTCTAATTTAGCCACTCTTGATCTCTCTTGGAATTCCCCGTCTTATGGCATTTTCCCTCCGTGGATTTTTCAACTCAGCAACCTTATCTATCTTGATATGAGTGCCAACTCATTCCAAGGCCCAATTCCAACAATGAGCAACACCACAAAACTCCAACACATTGATCTCTCCTATAACAATTTGAATTCAAGCATTCCACAGTGGCTCCACTCCTACAAGCACCTCCAGCACCTCGATTTAAGTGGAAATGAACTTTCTGGAAAAATACCAAGAGAAATCACAAACTTGTGCAATATTCAGACCTTGAATTTAGGGGCTAATAAGTTTGGAGCGGAATTAACAGATTCATTTGGAAATATGTCAGATTGTTTCTTAGGATCTTTGATATATTTAGGTCTATCATGGAATCAGCTCTATGGTCATCTGCCTCATCAATTTGGAGAATTTAGAAGTCTTCGATCCCTTTATCTTAGGGAAACCTCATTGTCCGGTGTAATTCCAGACGAAATAGGGAACTTGCTTTCCCTTGAAAGGTTACACTTGGATGGTAATAAATTTACAGGGAACTTACCAGAGAGTATTGGGAAACTTGTGAACTTGACAGTTCTTTCCATATACAATAACATGTTGGAAGGGGTTGTGACTGAAACCCACTTTTCCAATCTCTCAAATTTAGAAGACTTGATTGCCTCTGGAAACCACTTGACTTTGAAAGTCAACCCAAATTGGATTCCACCATTCAAACTGAAGGTGCTTTACCTAGGGTCTTGGAACTTCGGATCTCCATTTCCGTTATGGCTTGAGAATCAGAAAGAGAGTATCTCCAGTCTGGATTTATCGTGTACTGGAATCTATGGAAATGTTCCCAGCTGGTTATGGAGTTTGAGCTCTCTCAACCTTTCCCATAACCAACTTGACGGAAAGATTTTATCCATTATTAGTGATCGTGGAACTGATGAATATAATGGCCCCTTACATGTTTTTGACTTGAGTGCCAACAGGTTTAGTGGTCCACTGCCTCCAATAATGACGAGTTCATCCTTAGAACTCCATTTCTCCAATAACTCATTTTCCGGAGGATTGTCAGATTTTCTTTGTATCAATACATCCAATGTAGTGTTTATAAATTTTGAAGGAAACCATCTTTCTGGAGAGTTACCTGATTGTTTTTGCAAATGGCAATCATTGAAAGTGTTGGACTTACGCAACAACAAGTTGTCCGGAAGAATACCGAATTCCATCGGATTTCTAACTAATTTAGAATCTTTGAACCTCCACGGCAACAATTTCTCTGGCCACATAACTTCTTCATTGCAAAATTGCACGAAACTAATGATGATCGACTTTGGTGATAACAGTCTTGGTGGGGACATACCGAAATGGATTGACACAAGATTTTCCAATTTGAGATTTCTGATTTTGCAGTCCAACAATTTCAGTGGTGAAATTAGTCCATCCATATGTCACCTCACTTCTCTTCAAATTTTTCATCTCTCTAATAACAAACTGTCAGGGAGGCTACCTCAATGCCTCAACAATCTTACCACAATGACCACTAAAAAGATTTTGGATAAGCCATACTATTCTGTATCTATCGATTTGGATATGCAATTTGGAAAGCTAAGAACTTTTGCATTTGGAAGACAATTTCACGAAAGTGCATCAATTCCGACAAAGGGTAGAGAACTCACATACGACGCCACTCTCTTTTTGGTCAAAAGTATCGACCTTTCAAACAACATCCTGTCTGGTGATATCCCAATTGAGATAACAAGTCTGGTGGAACTCCAATCATTGAACCTGTCCCGAAATCGTCTAACGGGATCCATCCCAAACAACATTGGAAACATGAAGAATCTTGTATCTCTAGATTTCTCCAGGAATTCATTATCCGGCAAGATTCCAAGTAGCATCACAACCATGTCTTTTTTGAGTAGCCTAAATCTGTCGTATAACAACTTGACGGGGAGAATCCCACAAAGCACCCAAATTGGGACCTTCAACGAGTCCAGCTTCATCGGCAACAATCTTTGTGGCTTTCCACTAAGAATTTCTTGCAAAAATGATGGTAATGTCCCTGCCCCGACACAGGTGCAGATTCAAGGCCGAAAGAGCAATAAGCAAGAGATTGATTTGTTTTACGTATTCCTATCTTTAGGGTACGCTGTTGGGCTTTCTGCTGTCCTCACTGCATTGTTTTTTAAGAAGAATTGGAGGGAAGCTTATTATGCCTTCTTTCAGAAACTGTGGAACTGTGTTTACGTGTATTTAATTATCCAATGGAGGAGGCTCATGAGAGTGTTGGGTCGAAATCCCTAATGGCTCTGTCAAGAAATTATGGATGGACCTCTCTGACGGAGGACTTTAAGCTCATATATATGTGTGGTATTTTGATTCTAGTCTCTAATGTGTGTGTTTTTAAATAAGGTATTGGGATGTACTATGTTTTATTATTTAATCTTGGACTGCTATAAGATTTTATATCTAATGATTATTAGTCTATCATTTACTATCAGTAATTATTATATCTAGCTCTTACTTGCATGATGATATCGATAATAGCATTATAAGAGTCTTTTCATTAACAATTTTGTTCTCTAATCCTCAAACTTTTGCAATTAATATGCAAGTGCGAATAGTTTCATAACCTCGCTGCCTCTATGCGCACTCTAGACTATAACTGTAACTCCCTTTAAAGAGTTGTGTCTACAAAAATTAAATTGCCACAAATACAGTAATTTCTGAGGTTACTAATGATATCATTAATGAGTTACAAATAGTTACATTTGTTCAATTTCATCAATTTCGATATCTTTTTATTTGTGTACCTTGAATACAAAAATGTTTGGGTATGACGTGACACTTACACTGCCAAGTAGAAATAACAACTATATCTAATTAAAAAATTAAAACAAAAAATTAGGTTCGGCCAAATGAAAATAACATCTAGATTAATTTTAAAAAGAGTGTTAATATTCACCGCACCCACTTTTATTATTTACCGCACCCTTAAAATACTATTTTGCCCTTATTAAAAAATAATAATAAAAAATTTAATTTTTAAATTTTTTTTTAAATGTGGCCAAAAAAATATATTACCTTATAAATTGATAAATGTGGCCAATTTTATATGAATGTGTTATAACACAAAATTCGAAAAAAAAATCATAAAATTCGAACAAAATTAAAAAAAAAAAAAAAACTAGAAAAATTCGAAAAATTCGAGAAAAATTCAAAAAAATCCGAAAAAATGTCGGGACAATCCTCACGCACTGGGAAAGGACACTCGAATTCACAGGTATTTTTTTTTATTTTTTTTTACATTTTTCGCGATTTTTCGAAAAAAAAAAACAAAATTTTTGGCCGGCCGTCCCGCAACCGCGGCCGCGGAGGGGAGAGCCGGCCGGCCTTTGCGCGGCATTTTGGCCTGGCCGCGCAGCCTTTGCGGCCCGAAATGGCTTGGCCGCGTCCGGCTACCCAATGCTCGGCCGCAATCACCATCCGGCTACCCAATGCTCGGCCGCGCGCGGCCGGATGCGTCCGGCCGGTCCACTCCAGGCCGCGCGCGGCCTTTAATTTTTTTTTATTTTTTTTTTGCGATTTTTTTTAATTAATGAAAATAATTAGTGATAAAATTATTTTATATTTTTTGTAATTAATAAAAAAAATTAATATATAATTAGAATTAGTGTAATTATTGTATATATTAATAGTAATTACTAATATAATTTTATTATATACTAATATAATTTATGATAATATATATTAAAAATTTATTAGTATATAAAAAATATAATTAATATATAAAAATCTAATTAATATATATTATTATATATTAATATAACTTGTTTCGTTGTGCTTTGTGTAGTATATATAAAATTCTATTAGTATATTAAAAATTCTATTAGTAATATAATATTCTATTAGTAGTATAATATAAAAAATTTATATACTAATATATTATTTTTTTTAATATATACTAATAGAAAGTATTTATAAAAAAATAATATTAGTATTTAGTATTAAATTAATAGTATAAAATTATGTAATAGGAAAACTTTATATTAGTATAAATAATATATATGAATGTATTATCTTATAACGTAAAATTTATTGATATAATGTTAGAAGTTAGAATTGATTATATAATAAATTACAAATTACTATTATTATTTGAGAGAAGTTATAATTAATAATTTTGTAACAGTATTAACATACATCGTAACATATTGCAGGTGCCACTCGAAGATTTTGGAGGAGACGGCGAAGATTACCGATCTTGTTTTGCTACAAATGAGCTATTTGATAGTCATGAGGAAGCTATTGAATGGGCAAAGGACATTGCATTGATATGGAATTTCGAATTGGTCATCTCGAGACACGAAAAAGATGGAATGGTTCGGACGTTGAGGTGTCATCGAGGGGAACGTTACAGAGGCAAGGCAGGAAAACTAGGAAATCTTGTGAATGCTGTTTTGAGACGTTCGAAGACTAAATTTACTGGCTGCCCTTTTCTGATAAAAGTCAAATTTGAAGCAAATTCAAAAAAATGGAGTATCTGGCTTCCTTTAGAAGACGAGAAGGGATTTCATAATCATGCTTTGGCTGTGCATCCCGAGGGTCATCGACAGATGAGCCGACTCAGCGATTCATCCAAAGAGATTGTCCGTGATATGACTGATGCTCAGGCAAGACCGGGAATAATATTGGCTGCAATTCAGGAGAAAAACCCAGTGGACAACGCTACTTGCCGACAAGTGTATAACTATAGAGGTCAATTGCGAAAAGACCGTCTGGAGGGTAGAGATATTGTTGGCCAGCTTCTGCATTTGGCTAGGGGCAGCAACTACATAGTTTACACAGATGTTGACCCGGACACACAGGAGTTGACACGTGTGTTCATGTCGCATCCAGGAGCAGCCAGTCTATTCCGGACATATTACTGGTATGTCGGTATAGATTCCACGTACAAAACCAACAGGTATGTTACATTACGTTATAAATAGTAATATAATGTGAATCTTAAAATAGTATGTTTGAGTAAGTTTTTTGATTCTATGTTTTTTCTTCTTGCTGCTTTCATTTGCACAGGTACCACATGCCGTTGGTTGAGATGGTTGGAATGACGCCGTGCAACAAGAATTTCTTAATTGCTTATGCAATTATCAAGGACGAGACCGAGTACAGCTATGACTGGGTCCTACAGCGGTTGAGACTTCTGATAGGGCCTGATGTACATCCTACAGTCATTGTCAGTGACAGGGAGTTGGGGTTGATCACTCCTATTCAGAGGAATTTTCCGACGACGCCCCACTTACTCTGCACGTGGCACATCAACAAGGATGTGGAAGACAGGGTCTATCGATTAACGTCGACAACCACAACTAAAAATAAGATCTTCGCGCAGAAGTTCACGCACGGCAAGTGGAAGAAGGTTGTCGAGGCGAACACGTGGGACAAATACAAAACTGCCGTAACTGATTTGGCTGTTACATACGCGGCGTTTCCTCGTGTGCTGGAATATGTGGATCAGACATGGCTAGTGCACAAGGAGAAGTTTGTCAGAGTGTGGACGGACACTGTCTTACATTTTGGCAACACAACGTCGTGTAGGGTGGAGAGTTCCCACGCTACGTTGAAGCGGTGGCTTAACACGTCGACTGGTTCGCTCGACACGGTTTGGGAGAAGATTGACAAAGAGATTGATTCTCAACTGACTTAAGTCAGGTATATTTTTTTAATTTATACTGTAAGACTGTGTTATTAATGCATTGATTATAAATTTTACTTCGGTCGAATGTTATGTAATGTATTACCAGGGAGACGCTGGAGTCTTCGAGACTTAGGATGAGTACGGGCTGCAGGGAATTCCCTTTCGAGCAGTTGACACTGCGGGTCTCGCATTACTGTATTGATATATTGAATGATGAGCTTCAGAAGATGCGAGACTTCGGCAAAGATGTTTCGGAGCGCTGCGATTGTGCACTAAAATACACTCATGGACTTCCTTGTGCCTGTGAGCTAAGGGAGGCACACACTGTACGTAGAAATATTACGACCGACGATCCACATCTTCTGGAGCACACTAGAGGTGATGCAGCCAGGTATAATTGCGAGATTAATAAATCTATAGAACATCATTAAATACATTTTTTTTTCTCCTAAATTTTATTTAATTTATACAAATTTTGATAGAGCATATTGTATAATTCTTTAAATTTTCGGTACGGACAGGTCAGCAGAGTGCATCGGCGAGTGGATGGACTGATCATGATTATTTTCGGAGGCTTGCCGAGGAGGTTGAAGCGGCCGATCCTGCGACTGTACGGTACCTGAATCATCTCATCGACTCTCAGCTTCACCCTGATCAACAGGGATACACAGAACCTGCAGTGAAGGAAAATCCGAGAGGTCGGCCCAAGAAGAAAAATTCAACAAAACGCGATCTATCGAGATGGGAGTACATGGAAACAGATCGTCGGCCGGGGCGTAAAAGCACTTCTTCGTGTGCTCCATCGCAATCGTGGTACACGGAAACAGGTCGTCGGCCGGGGCGTAAGAGCACTTCTTCTTGTGCTCCGACGATGTGGGACTACAGGGAAAGAGGTCGTCCGGTGGGTCGTACAAGCATTTCTTGTGTGCCCCGACAAGCTCATCGTCTCAAGATCCGACAGGTACGACAGGTAATTTAATTTTACTTTTTATCTGAACGATGACTAATTATGTTTGTAAATTCAACTACATAAATTATGACGTGAAATTATTCTGATATTACAGATACATTCGAGACGGATTTTTTTCAGTACCGACATTGTGGTAGGATTCTCTACGTAGTTCACAGCTACGTACAGAGTTATCTGGATGTGACGCCGGACGGGAACTGCGGATTTCGGGTGGTTACGAGTTACATTTATAGGGATCAGCATAGGTGGGATGTGGTAAGAAGAAATATTGCAAATGAGGTCGCAGCCAACATTCATTTGTACGCTCCATTTTATTGGGATGGGGTCGACGTCGCAATCGATCGTATAAGATGGGACGGGGGTCCTTGTGGCGAGGCGCATTGGATGAATGGTACGGGCGACCTCTTTGCTATTGCTACACTGTTCAATGCAGTTGTCGTGTTGCTAAGCTATGGTCCCAACGATAACAATATGGACATGGCTAGTATGACGGTATTCCCGATCCGCGCACCATCCACGGCTACACGACCTGACTGTGAGATCGTCATAGGTCATCTTGGTTCCTACTCGCACTTCATTCGTATCAATCTGTGTTCTGATTCTCCATTACCGCCTTTGTGTTTTTTTTG